GCTTTTCCCCTGTATATAGATAGACCAGCTTTGAGTGGTGAATTTTCATTTCGTGCTGTGGCATATTAGCATATAGCATACATTCTAGCATTATATAGGAAAGATTTCTCATGGCACCTGCTGCTATTGCTATTGGTTATTGCACAGGCAAGTAAAGTCTCAATCCTCTTCTTCCTTTCTTGAATCCCTAAAATATATCATGGAAGTATAAAAGGAAACTGGAGCCGATTTCAAGTATCTAGTTATTGAAACTAAAATAAATAGAAATATTAAACCAGTACCTTTTATTAGTGGGCTCTGCCAGAGTCTTCATAAATGAAAATATGTCAGTCAGTATTTTGGCCCTTAATTATACTCTATCCTAGCCACCAAGGCATTAGAAAGCTCAGTAAATATTAATACCTTAAGTCTCCATTAATATTACATAAATGATTGAGCTTCTATAATTTTTATTAACCCATGATTCTTAGAGTCTTCTACTAAATCCTTGGAGTAAGTAGTTAGGCTGGTAAGGTACCCCTAACGTTGATGAGAACTCTGAAATAGAAATTTTGTGTTTCATTTAATAATGCCAGTTCGGCACTTTTTATTAGTCTGCAAAAATAAGCCTGATTAAATGCCCTTTAGCTTGGCCTTTCTTATAAGGGTTTGTGAAAGTATTGAATACATAGTTTGTATATTAACTATAAGATGCATTCTACAGCACATACCTTATTCATCCTTCAAAACCAAATTTAGTTGGTGCAAAATTTTCCATAATATACCATTGCTGAAATAATAGTGTAGTAAATGAAATGTCATAATTTTTTTTTCAGGATTAGACCTCATATTGAAAATGGGATAAATCTTTTATAAGATACAGAAATCAATTCAATGGTAATTTTGGTTAAGTAATTTACACCACTAGAAGAAGAGGGCTTAATAGTAGTTGCAATTTATTCATGTATTGGCACATAATACTCTATTCCACAATCATCTATAGAAGAATCTCAATTTATTTACATTTATGTTTACTAATTTTTTGCATTAACAAGGTTACTCTGAGAATATTCACTAAATAGTTGTATCTATAAAATACTTCTATATGGCGGCACCTGGGTGGCTCAGCCGGCTGAGTGGCTGACTTCGGCTCAGGTCATGATCACACATTCGAAGGTTCAAGCCCCACTTGGGCTCTGTGCTGACAGCTAGCTCAGAGCCTGGAGCCTGCTTCAGATTCAGTAACTGCCTCTCTCTCTGATCCTCCCTGCTCATGCTGTCTCTCTCTCAGAAATAAGTAAAACAGTAAAAAACAATTAAAATACTTATATATAGATAAATGGAGAACACACAGTGACATAGGATCGTTTATTTAAAACACATAGATTTAATGCTGGATAAGTGTACCCATAGGCTACTTGGAGAATTTGCTTTTTTCAGCCGTATTGTTTGGAAACAGGCAATATTTTCAAGTCAATTTTGAAGCATACTGATTTTTAAGGGTTAGTGTAGTGTGTATGTTGTTATTTTATGTCTGTCATGTGTTAAGTACACAAATAATCCTAAAGATAAGGTTAACATTCACTAAAAAAATGTTTTTAAAGCTACATTAACACTTTTATGTCTGTAAGAATACATTTTAGGCATTTGCTGAGAGTTTACCTGGGATAATAAAATTATAAATCTTTTTGATAATAACTAAAAGTAAAAGCTAGCTTACCATATTTATAATGACCTGGATATCCAGAGACATTGTGTAATAAAATCACAGGACTCTAAAGTATCTTCTTAGTGCACCTTTAATCATGGGGAAAAAAACCTGTGAATGGCTAATGTAATTGCTGTTACTGAACATAACAAGAGTTATTTCATCTTTCTGATTCATAAGACTGCATTTCTGTATGTCCCCATCAACGTCATAGGCTTTTAATCTCTTGACATGCTACAAAGCAAAATGAAGTTGTAATTATTGCACAATAATTTTTATAACTTATATTCACTCCAAGATGGTTACAATTTATTAGCTGTGGTTAGCATCTTATCTGCCCTCCGTTGCTATAGTAGTTCCTGGCCATCTCTCTGAAGATTGGTGGCATGTTTCCCTTCATGTGTCTGTAGCAAACCGGGTTCAGAATGCACAACTTACTTCAACTACGAAACATCCTACCCACACTCATCTAAAATGACAAGTACTCTCTACACATATCCTTAATTCTACATTTTAACTTCTTTGAAAATATGAGCCAGAAGGATCATTTGAGAAGCACACGCAAACAGTGATGACAATCCTTTGTGGTTTCCCTAACACTTAAAATTAAATCTGAGTTATATTCCAACCACCAAATCTTAGGTATTTTGTCCCCTTCTACCCCTCACCTTTAATATTTGTCCTTTCTCTCCTAGAGCATTGCAGTCACATTGACTCCAGTCAATTCTGAGTATAGGCAAATTCTTTCTAGTCACACGGCTTTTGCATGGGCAAATACATCTGCCTGGAATGCTTTTCTCTGGTCATTTTACAAAAATAGATTCTTCTTTTTCATTAAGTATTTTTGTTAAATGTCAACTCCTTAGCAAGAGTGCAAGTCTACCTTGGCCAAAAAAAAAAAAAAAAAAGGTCTTTCCTTGCATTATCTTTTTTAACTCCTTGCTTGGACCCCTCTTGGGCTTTATTGCAGCCAGCAATTACTAGTTACCAGTTCTCTTATGTATTTAATTTTATTTTTCTTTTCCCATTAGAAAATAATCTTTCTGATACGCTAGGCTCTTTTTGATATTCAAAAACACTTATTGAATGCATGTACACTTAAATATATTAAATGTACAGAAAGGTAGACTAAAGCAGTGCAATCCGGAGCTAAATGGACTCAAATTTTAATCTCAAATTTAGCGTTAACTAGTTATAAGACTTAAGCATTTTTTTTTCTTGCAGTGAGAACTTTTAAGATCTATCCCTTAGTAACTTTTAAATATATAATATGGTATTATTAACTACAGTCATCAGGCTATATATTATATACCAGAGCTTATTTATTTTATAATTGCAAGTCTGTACCTTTTGACTACCTTCATGCATCTCGCTCATCCCTCTATCACAAGATGCTTTTATAGGGCTAGAGAAACAACATTTTGGGAGCACAGACTATTTTAAGGTGTTTGGTTTTAACATGGGTAAGTTCTTTATTTAAAAAGGTTCTTAAAGAAATGTGACTTTTTTTTTCCTATTGTCAAAAAACAAAATTATCAGCATCATGAACTTTGGTATCACAAAGTTACCACAGCTTACTCCATGAACTTTTACCAGTCCTATCACATTTGTTAGCCACATATCCCCTTACCATGGCCCCATGGTAGCATACACTCAGCTTCTGGGTGAGATGAACATGGATGGCGCCAAGGAGAGTGTATTCGTTACTTCTGGGTCAAAGAACTTCTCTGTCTCTGCCTTCATTCCCATACCTTTAAAAGGGAGAAAGCAATACTCATACCATGCTTTTTGGACTGCTTCTGTCAAGACAAAGTGAGATAATGATGTGAAGAGACATTGAGGTTTTAAATATTATATAAGTGAAGATACTCTCCCAACCTTATCTTGAAAAATAATGAGGAAAATATTTGAATACAGTAGGAAAACTGGGAAAAGTTTTAGCATGCTTTATTTGTAGGAAAATTAGCCCCCATTCTTCTACCCTGAAAGCAGTGGAGGAGAGGCAAATTGGAAAATGATTGTATACGAAAAGACACGGTGGAAAAATTGTTTTGTAACACTTAAAGCATGCAAGCTGCATTTTCAGGCTCCATTATTAAGAGAAGGATGGGCACTGCTTCCAGTGTTGGTGATACCTTCAGGGTTAAACTCTCCTTTAAATAGAGGTGGGATAGGTACAAAGTAGCTCAGCCACAGCACCTGGTGAAACACACTGTCACATCTAAAATAAGGAGAAAGGGGGAAATTCCAGCAACCGTGCCTATCTATTTTCTGGTCTCCTCCTTCTTCCACTGTCTTCCCAATTCCTTCACAAACTCTGGCTAACTGATTATATTGCTTTTTAGTTTTAAAATTCAGGTCCCTCCCAGAACGTCTCCGATAGATAGGGATTAGAGGTGGAGGGATGGATGGGAGGGAAAGCAGAACTAAGTCAATACCCTAATGATTGTACACTGGAAGCATGTTGCTGTACAATATCGCCCCAGAGCCGCTTTGTTTATCAATGAACATCCTACTGCGTCTCGGAGATGTAGGTCAGGCTCATTGGAAACATCAGCCGCCGACCACAAGCAGTCTTCATGATATTTCCAGACCCGGTGCGCTGCTGATTCTTGCACACTGGAGTGCGTCTGCTGCACGGTGGAGAGGGGGACACCTGTACCTTAGGGACGCAGGTGAAGTCGCGTCTACCTTCCTGATACTTTTCCTTGGTGCTTTCTCATTCCCTCAGCCGCTCACTCTTCATCTTCATCTCCCCTGCTGTCTTGGACCTGAGCGTCTCTGCTAAATGGGTGCTTTTCCCGCTCTCTCCTTTCTCCGCACCTCAGCCGAAGACACAGTGCTCCACACAACTGGGCATGCCTAATAACCAGGGAAAGCCTGGGCTGCAAGAAGAAAGCTTTTGCACCTTCTGCGCTCCCCTCCCCTCTGCAGCTGCCTCCTGCCAGTCAGGCGATCCGACGTGCCGCGCGGCCCAATGAAGGTCCGCAGCTTGCGCGGGGGCCCGGCCTCTCGTTGCGCCACCACCAATGAACGGTTGGCGGAGGTGGGACGCGCCCGGTTCCCGCCTCCCCAGTTAAGGCCGGTGGTGTGAGCCGGGGCTCGGCGCGAGCTGGGGACGACGGAAGGGACCCGCAGGTGTGGGCGCGGGGCCGCGCAGCCCGACGGCGGGAGTCACAGCCCCTCGGTGCATGGGCCAGTGAGGACGCGCGGAGGTCCCCTCGCCGCGGCGAAGGCGGAGCAGCGCGGAGCAAGGCGCTGCCCGGCGACCCTGCGTCCGAGCGAGCGGAACCTTGCGCTTCGCCCGGGGACGGTCCGAAGTCCGCGCTATGGAAGAGGAGAAATATTTGCCTGAGCTGATGGCAGAGAAAGATAGCCTGGATCCATCCTTTGTACATGCATCGCGCCTTTTGGCGGAAGGTAGGACTTAATCTCACAGATGGGCACAAATCACTGGCCGCCCATCTCATCCGCGGCTTGGGTAGGGGAGTGAAGTTGGGGAGGGACGCCTGTCTCCTTCGCCGAAACTGTCCCCTGAAGATGCTCGCTTCGGAGCTCGGGCGGACAGAGCCCGTTCTTGGGGCGGGCAGCAGTGCTCCTTCTCTACGTCTTAATTTGGGGGAAGACCAAAGCTACGAGATGTAATGGCAGTGGTGATGTGACCTGTTAGGATCATTGATGGAGAAACCATAAAGTGTAGCGCGGTCAACAGGGATATTTTCACTTTGCAGAGGAAAAGGAAATCAGTTTGGAAGTAAATGGTGATCATTGTAGTGTTCTAAGAGCTTCTTAGCTACAAATCAGCATTTATTTTTTATTTTATTTTATTTTTTTGTTGCATTTGGGAAGTGATTTTGATACCCTTTATCTAATAGAACCTTTCCCCTGGAGAGACTTAGAATTAACATAGATGAAATTATGCGTGTTCATCAATGTTTGTGAATGTAGCAAAGGCTAAAGTGCTTATCAATTTATTTGAAGTGTGATGATTGGGTGCTCTGCGAGATACTGGCCCCTGGGAACACTCCACAATTGATCAGCTGTTTTACCAAGTGTGCATTTTCTTTTGTGTACCTGTAATGTTAAAGATTTCATTCCCAGAGGAACATATATGTCTTGTCTTTTGTGTTGCTCTGAAAGATTGTTTAAACACACACACACACACACACACACACACACACACACACAAACTTCTGTATGACAGAAATATTCGCCCAATTACTCCATTCATCTTGAAATAATGCCATCTATCTGCTAAAGACACAGTATCTGTAATAATCTACACATGCCTTTTTAAAAACAACTCCAGTTTTTTTTTTTAATAAATGCTTCATTAATAATGAATGGCTTCATCATCAAATTGACTACAATGCAGTTTTGTAGCTTAGGTTGTTATAGACTTACCTATAGCAAAACTAAAAGTGCCAACTTCCTCTTCCCTTTCCCTTCAGCATTAAATGAAATATTTTCTTTTTTGAGACTTAGTTGTACATGGAAGGAAAAATTGTAATTCTCCATGTATGACTCAAATAGCCATTAGGTTTGTTTAAATATTTTATTGACGGAGTATTATTTATCACAACAGTAAATTGTAAGGTAGTTTTTCAATTTTGCATACTAAACAATTAAGAAAAGATTTATAATTAAAATCCTGAACATGTGAAATAGCTAAACTGCTTTTCAAGGAACAAGTTAGTTTTTTAGAGGATTTGGAAAGGTAAAAAGCAATGATGCTTACTACTTTCTTGGTTACTGAATGAAAAAGCTAGAAATTCAGGTGAAAAGTAAAGTCAATTTAAAAATTAAACTCTCCCTTGACATTAAAAGTAAAGATGACTGCATAAAATAATAGGAATATTGAAAAATAATGAGTTAATAAATGCTTAAATTAAGAATGTTTAAAATGATTGAAAATGTAATTAAGCCTTCTCAAATCATGTATTTCAGTATATCTTCCAGAAGTGTCCTTATTAAGCTGATAACGTCTTTAAAATGAAAAAAAAAGTTTGGAATTGATCATTTTCTCTGACCTGCTAATTGGAGTTCTCTTTGGGACAGCAGGCTCAATGATTAATTCATCAGTCATTGATGAGAGTTAGTGGAGTTACTGTACGTTTCAAAATTGCCAAAATAAAGAAGTGCATATGAGAAACTCTTAGTAGAGTACATAAGTATTTCTGTGGCTGGTGAAACAGTCAGAAAAGGCTATGCCCTTGGTTCCTTAACATTTTATCTTTCTCAGGAACTTGATTTCTTGTTATTTAGGAACGTGTTCCAGCGTGCCTTGTAATTTAATTTTTTCCCAGCAGGGGGAGGCATGTCCTGCTTTTGTAAAGAATAAGGAGGAAAAAGCTCTTAAATAGAAAAATATCTAAGTAAGAAACAAAGAGAGGTGTTCAAATTTCAGAGAAATCATAATAAGGAAAAGAGAATGGAGGAAGTGATGATTATAATCTCGGAGTATATAAAGAGATATGCAAAAAAGATGCATAAGTTTTATATGAATTCTTTATTTGTACTTGAAGTTTTTTATATGTACTTACTGAAGAGTAAAAGATGAGTATCCTTTGGAATCTCTAATAAATCTTAATGTACACTTTACATTATAGATCTTTTGTTGTTTTTTCAAAGGCCATTTGCCAAGATTTCCAGGTTTTGTTTCAGATCTCTATAGGAGAATATGTTGAGATGATTTTATTTCTCTTACCTGGAAATGCACTGATTGAAGGCAGTGGCTATAAATAAACCTGACATAGATATTCATTTGGAGAGAAGGTGCACACTGAAGTACATTTCAGTCAGTACTGTGCAGACAGTCTCAAGACTGAGTGAGCAATAAAAATGATCCAGATGATTCAGTTCTTTGGAATGATTTTCTGGAAGCTAATATGTATAAGGTCAGTGATGTAAACCAATGAGCTTTCACAGTGATTTGTTTTGCATTTTTGATTGGCGATGCTAATCAGTGCTCATTTGCAACTACTTCACAAGACCATGGAGTTAAAAGTAGTAGTTTGTTAATTATTCTAATTATTTTGATTATAGTTCAGTTTATTTCACTTGTTTCTGCTATGTATTTTCAATATAAAGCTAATGGAAGAACCCATACATTTTATGTATTTGATTGTTACTTAGCAAAGATCTTGAATAATACAGTTTGAAGAGTGCTTATAATGTTTGACTAATATAACTTTCCTCCTGTGATTATAATATTGTTTAATTATCCATTTGTTATGGAAGGTGCTTTCAAATATGATAAAACAGCAAACTCAGCATGATCCTTAAAGTTCCACTCAGCTTCGGAATTTGCTTGCCAGATGAAATTAGTTGAGGTTATTTCTATCTATGCTACTTCTGGGAAGTGCACTAAACTGTGAATCCAGATACCTGGATTTTAATTCCACTTTTGCCTAAACTGAATGTTGATAAACTTCCCATCCTCCAGGCCCAGTTTCTTTGTCTCTGAAATTAAGGAATTGGACTAGATGATGTATAGTTTTCTTTGTAGTCCCAGACTTAATTAGAATTACAAAGTTCTCTGGTTTGCAAGATTTCCTAACCTGAATTGTTCACAGATATTGGTAGATTCATCATTGTTTTGGTTGACTCATCAAATGAGGAAGTCAAATATCGCCAAATATCCCACCAGTTAAAATGTTTTTATTAAAAGCACTGGGTGTTATTTTTAAATTTGGGTGAAAAGCTTGACCTTCCATCTAGGATTGGCTTTCATGTTTGTAGATATAGAATGAACCTTTAAAACCACGAGAGAAACTGGAAATAATATTTATCACAAATGCTGACTTGCAGTGACTTAACTACATGTAGATTCTCAATAAGGATTATTATTTAATTTAGATTGTATTCCTCAAAATATTTTCCACAGAGCATGGAGAGTTCTTAAATTAAGGAAAGGTATCGGTGTAATGTCTAAAACTAGCTTCTGTTAAAAAAAATATTTATATGACTTTCCTTTTGATTAATGTAACCCCCTTTTTTTCTCCTAATACATTTGGGATAATCTGGCTTATGTTTCTTAAATAAAAAAACAACAATTGGCAAAAAGAATGATGAGATCGTTTTGATTTTCTTTTTTTTTTAAAATATTTTTAAAAATATTTTTATTTATTTCTAGGAGAGAGAGAGAGACAGCATGAGCAGGGGAGGGTCAGAGAGAGAGGGAGTCACAGACTGAAACAGGCTCCAGGCTCTGAGCTGGCAGACAGCACAGAGCCCGACGCGGGGCTCGAACCCATGAACTGCGAGATCATGACCTAAGTGAAAGTCGGACGCTTAACCGACTAAGCCACCCAGGCTCCCCGAGATCGTTTTGATTTTCAGTTAAAGTTTCTACCACCCATGGGTCTTTTAAGGTTAAAACAGTTCTGTTTGTAATAATATAAACCATATTTTATACAAACATAAATAGAATTTTTATACAAAAATAACATAAACAGAAATTACACAAATATAAGATGACGCTTTTAAGATTTTCCTTAACATTTTAAGGACTTGACCTCATCTTGATACTTGACTTTGTCAGAAAATAAGCATTGCTTTTACTCTCTGAATCACTGCTGAGTGAAATTTGATCTCACAGACCAAATTTTAAAATAAATTATCTTATGAAAAAACCATTCCAGTGAAGGTTTTTTAAAATATCATGTCCCCTCAGTCACTGGTCACTTATTCAGTGCTTTATTTGTGCTTGAGTAGCCCTTATCCCGGGACTTTCTAGGGTATTTCCAAACCTCCCCAGGCCTTGTCATAAACCCACAGGTCTTTCACTCTTGGCAGCCGATTTCATCCTCTGTTTTAGTAGGAAATGGATTTATCTCTTGTGATGTTTTTCAACCGCCTATCACCTAAAATTTTCCATTATCTTCCTTACTATCTTTCATTCCCAGAAGGTGAAATGTGTCTTTTTTGTTCTAGGCTGACTCACGTACACCAGTATCCTTCTTCCTAATGCTCATCTTGTCTTCAAGACTTGTTCTATAGTTCTATCCCTTCTTCAATATCTCCACTTTCTTCCTCCCTACCCATTCTTTTATTGTAGCAGCCTGTGGGCATGATCCAATCTGAATAACTTAAAAAAGATAAAATATTTTGGAGTTTACCTCTTCAAAACTCATCATTCTGGCTTCTTTCCTCATCATTGTCCTAAAACCAGTGACCCTGGAAACAGAATCATCTCCTAATTGCCAAATCCAATAAAAGTTTTCTGACTTCTTATAAGGTCTCTTGGCTGCATTTTCCACTGTTGGTCTTTTTCCCATTTCTTGGGGTTTGCCTTAACTTCCAGGCTTTACAGTGCTGTTGGATTTACTCTTCTGTTTCTTGCGCTCAACATCCTTTATCCCTCTTCTCCTCTTCCCAACTGTGCTGCCAGTGATTCACTCAAAATCAAAGTTTGACCA